CTTTAATCCCAGCACTAGCGAAGCAGAGGCAGACAGATCTCTGTGAGTTTCAGGCAAGCCTCTGGTTCAAATTTCATCCCTTCGGAGGTTGAGGCAGGAGGATTGTCGGGAATTGTTTTCTATCCTAGCTACAGAGTGACACACTGACTTCTAATCCCATCACCCCAAAAAAGATGGAGCAGGGGTGGGGTGGGCGATGCAGCTTTTAAAAAGTTCTGGATGTTTTCTCCTGAATCTCTTTCCAGCTTGGGTCCCAGTACTTTGCGGCAAATGAGACTCGCGTGTCCACTTTTGTCCACAGGAAGGCGCTGTACTCGCCGCGGTCTGGCCGCTCTAGGCTGCAGCGGCGGCAGCGGAAGCCTCGTTCTCCCTGCGCTTCCGCTCTCTACCCGGGCTGAGAGCTGCGTGGATCTAGACTTCGCGATGCCGACTGGCGACTTTGAGTGAGGAGGGGACGGTGGCGGGTTCTCCAGAGGGGCGGTGTGGGGGCAGCTCTGGGTGTATGATGGTGGGGCGGCGCGGGGATCGGGACCCGCTCACCGATCTTGTGTTCCCACAGCTCGAAGCCCAGCTGGGCCGACCAGGTGGAAGAGGAGGGCGAGGACGGTGAGTGCTTGTGTGCGGCCCCTCCCGCGCTCTGACCCCGGAGTGGACTAAGTCCCCAAAGTTCCCCCACCTTGGCTTGTAAGTTTTAGCCCTGTGGCCCACTTTTCTTCCTCCCCGCATTCCATCTGACAGACAAGTGTGTCACCAGCGAGCTCCTAAAAGGAATCCCTCTGTCCACCGGTGACACCAGTCCAGAGCCTGAGTTACTGCCAGGAGGTGAGCAACATCCGTTCCTGCCATCCCCCTCCTCCCTTCCCACCCTCAAGCCTATTTTCCAGCCAGTGTCCATTATCCAGGACTCAGTTTCTGTCATCTTCCTACAGACCCACTGCCACCTCCCAAGGAAGTCATCAACGGGAACATAAAGACCGTGACGGAGTACAAGATAGATGAAGATGGCAAGAAGTTCAAGGTGAGGCTGAGGTGGCTGCAGAGGGTCAGTGTGCCTTTGTGCTTGGGGTACATGGATTGGTGATGAGGGGTGTGAGTGTTGGATTGCTGAGGAAGCCTTGAGATTCTGGAAGGGCTCCTTTCTCTTTCCATCTTCAGATTGTCAGAACCTTCAGGATTGAAACCCGGAAGGCGTCAAAGGCTGTGGCGAGGAGGAAGGTGAGACCCTCCTGTCTGACCCCAAGACTGACCCAGAGGAGTTGGGAAACCCTTTCATGTTGATAGAGAATTAAGATTTAGTGTCAGGCCCTGAAAGTTTAGGGTTCAGGAGTAGATGAGGTTAGGTTTTTTCCCCCTTTTGTGTGCTCCTGTGTACAGTGTCATTCCCCCAACACATTATTCTGGGATTGAGGTGGGCTTTTGTCATCAGGGATTAGATTTGGCCACCTATCCCCAGTGAGCCTGCTGTCTGTACCTTCTGAGATAACAGTTGCGCACTTCTGTGCCTAGCTTTTCACTGGGTGCTTGGGATTTTACTCCAATGGATACTTATGTGACAGATCTTTGCTGAGATATACCCAGCCTTCTTGGGTTTTTTGTTGTTGTTACTCTTGCTTTGCAGTCTTCAAATTCTAAATGCTTCTGGATTTGAGGCTGATCTGGCTGCAACATCTGTCACCCCATTGATCACAAGGGTTGATTTGGCAGATCAGGCTGGCTAGGCAGGTGTCCCCTTCCTCCCTCACCGCTCCATGTGCGTCCCTCCCGAAGCTGCGCACTTGGTCGAAGAGTATGACCAACCCTGGATAGAGGAGGACTGGTCTTTGGTCAAGGGAATAGGAGTAGCTGCGCTCCCCTGCTAGAACCTCCAAACAAGCTCTCAGACCCTAAATGTTTCTGCCTAGCCTCCTGGGTCCTGACTTAAATTCTTACTCCTTTGTTCTGTCTGGAGGGACAAGCAACTTCTACTGAGCGAGGGGCAAGGACTTCTGGAGAAAGGGCAGCAAGGCATTGAGAGCAAGGCTCCATGCCATTTAGCAAGACATGGCTTCCCAACCTCTAGACCAGGCTAGGGAGGCAGGGAGCTTTGTGGTCCCCATATTACAGGAAGGAAGGAAGGAAGTCTGGTTTAACTAGCTTAAGGTTCCTGTGATCTGAGTGACTCTTGAACATCCTCCAGCTTCCTCCCTGGTGGGAGCTGGCCCTGGACCTGCCTAGAAACTGCAATGGCACAGTTGTGTGCCACTCCACTCTGGGTCTCCTTGCTGTTTCCTGGAGTTCTTTTACTTCTGTCTTTGTAGTGTATGCATCAATGTCCATGAATGTGTGTATATTCACACACAGGGTAGAGGAGGACACTGAGTGACTTGCTTTATCGTGTCACTCTATAACTTACTCTCTTTAGATAGCGTCCCCTGCCCCTGGGCCATACTTAACTCTTTTTGTTTGTTTGTTTGTGATTTTTGAGCCAAGGTTTCTCTGTGTAGCTTTGGAGCCTATCTTGACCAGACTGGCCTCGAACTCACATAGATCTGCCTGCCTCTGCCTCCCAAGTGCTGGGAATAAAGATGTGAGACACCACCACCTGGCTCATACTTAACTTTTTATGTGAGAGTTTGTGAATCAAACTTGGGTTCTTAGATGTACAATGAATGGTTTTCCACACTGAACCACCTCACCAGCATTTATCTACCTATCACCCTCCCTCCCTTTCTCCCAAATACCCCCCTCCCGGCTCGGCCTCATTACAACATAGCTCAGGCTGGTTTTGAACTTGTATATCTCAGGATGACCTTGAGCTCAGAATCTTCTGTTTTTATCTCCAAGTGTTAGGGTGACAATTATGTACTACTACACCTAGCTTAGGAAATGAGAATTGTCACCATGGGAGGTCTCTGGGAACACTAGAATGTAGGATTTAAGGCTCTGACGTGGTTGTTTTTCTGGGGTACCCCACTGTGGCATCCTGCCTGCCTTTGTCCTCATTTTTTCCCCATCCTTCTGGAGCTTAGAACTGGAAGAAGTTTGGCAACTCGGAGTTTGACCCACCAGGGCCCAACGTGGCCACTACCACAGTCAGTGATGATGTCTCCATGACATTCATCACTAGCAAAGAGGTGAGCAGGGTGAAGATGGTGGGTAACCCAGATGTGCAGTGGGGGTGGGGTGGGCGTCATCTCCCTCTGACCCACCCCTCTTTGTTCCCCACCAGGACCTAAACTGCCAGGAGGAAGAAGACCCAATGAACAAGCTCAAGGGCCAGAAGATTGTATCCTGCCGTATCTGCAAAGGCGATCATTGGACCACCCGCTGCCCTTATAAGGACACCCTGGGGCCTATGCAGAAGGAGCTGGCTGAGCAGCTGGGCCTGTCTACTGGGGAGAAGGAGAAGCTGCCTGGAGGTGTGGGCCTGGGGCACCTGGGAGGGGCCTCAGCTCTTTCTTTTGCAGTGTGCTGTTTTCCTTTCTCCCTGGCCAGGTTTGAGCAGCCTGTGCCTGGGGACCCTCATAGACACCTCGTTTGCTTAGGGCATGGTCTTTCCTATGTACATGTGGCTGGTGACTTGTGTGTTGTATGTAAGGAGTACCCATGTGCTGGCCTTAGTGTGGGTTTGTAGGTCAAAATCTAAAGGTACCTTGTAGGTAGCTGCCTCTTGGTGACTTGTGCGGAGCTTTGCCTTTCACCTATCATGAACACCCTCGGTCTAGGTGCTGAGAGCCTGTGTTCTGTAGTTTGTGGGGCTCAGCAGTGCTAGGTTGTGGGTGCCAAGACCACATCTGCCCTGTAGCTTGTTCACTTTACCCGTATTGTTGTCAGGAGATTTTGAAGGGTGGTAGCTTCTGGATGTGACCTTTGGAGTCTCCAAAGGACAACTGAATACCTGCAGCTCAGGGCCAGGGCAGAACTTGACTTTGTCCACTGCTTTCCAGAGCTGGAGCCTGTGCAGGCCGCCCAGAACAAGACAGGGAAGTATGTGCCCCCAAGTCTCCGGGATGGGGCCAGTCGCCGTGGGGAGTCCATGCAGCCAAATCGCAGAGGTGAGGGGCTAGGAATAGCCTGGGTAGCAAGTAGACAACCAGGCACCTTGTAATTATCCTGTATTATGGGGGTGGGGTCTAACTGGCATGCTTCTCACTGCTACCTCACCCTGCCCTGCCCACAAAGCCGACGACAATGCTACCATCCGAGTCACTAACCTGTCTGAGGACACACGTGAGACTGATCTCCAGGAACTCTTCCGGCCTTTTGGCTCCATTTCTCGCATATATTTGGCCAAGGACAAGACCACTGGCCAGTCCAAGGTGGGTGGTCTGGTCTGGGGAATGGGTGGCTGGATAGTACCTGTCTTGGGACCCACATCTTACTCCCGCCTCTGACTGTCTGCCCCTGGCCCCCAGGGTTTTGCTTTTATTAGCTTCCACCGCCGGGAGGATGCTGCACGAGCCATTGCAGGGGTGTCTGGCTTTGGCTACGACCACCTCATCCTCAATGTCGAATGGGCCAAGTAAGATCCTTCCCACATCCTCTGTAGCCCACTGTAGTCCTGCACCAGTTATGTGATTGCCAGGCCTGTCTGAAGGAAGGTTCTTTATTGTGCTCTGGGAAAAACTTTGCTAGATTTGATGCTATTGTTCCTAAGCAGGCAAGGCCTGGGCTTCCCTGGTGTGTGACTGACTGAGTCTCAGGTACCTTTTAGGGTCACAAGTCCCTGACTGTAACCTTAACCTCCTCCCTCCCTCCCTCTTTCCAGGCCATCAACGAACTAATAAGACACCCACTGCCTGCTGCTGTCACTCAGACCCTCAGGGACAGAAAGCTTCCATTAAATAGACTCCAAACACACTTGTATCTTGCTTGTTCTCATGTGTCTTCCTTGTCAGGGGGGTGGGAGAGGAGCTGGTCTCTCCCTCAGGCTGAGGTCTTGTAAAGAATCTGCCTGGATGGGAGACAGCCTCCATTGGTAAGGGGTTAGCTGGGGACTTTTGGCACTTGGTGGTTGTTCTCACAACCCAGCCTGTGAGGAGGAGGCCTAAGGGCTCTGCTGGCTTTGGGAAGTGGTTGTGTCTGCTAGAGGCAGGTCTTGGCAAGGGCTCTGGTCCTCAGACTTCCCATGGCATGGGTGGCAGTTGAGGCTGGGTGCCACTGCCATGTAGAGCAGGGGGTGCATGCATGTGGCCAGGGGCACAAGGATGCGGGTTGTCTGGTAGCCAAAGAAGGCCCTTGGGTTTAGCGCCGCCACAGCCTGTGACTCACTGGTGAAGCTGGGGCAGTGAGCCATCCAGCGCAACATGGCATTCACATGGAGCACTTGTGTGATGTGGTAAGGCGCATATGAGCAGGCGTAGACAGTCACACCACTGGTCACCAGCACTACCACACGCAGCTTCTGGGCTGTGGTCATGCTCGGGCTGCGCATCACCACCAGCCCTAGGGCACTGTAGGCCATTAGTGTGAGCAGCAGAGGCAGGATGCCACCCAGGCATGCCAGCACCAGGCTGTAGGTTCTGAAGGTCTCTAGCTGACTGTCCTCCATCATCCCCAGGCATTTGACACAGGCCTCACGATTGGTTTTACTGCATGGCCCAAGTCCTGGCTGGGGCTGGTTCTGATGGGAGAAGCCGAGCATGGGGGCAGCCAGCAGGATGGCCATGGCCCAGCTGGCAGCACTGACGGCCCAGGCATGCTTAGGTCGCAGGTGTCTTCGTGTAAAAAAGGGGTGCACAACCACCATATACCGGCTGAGGCTGATGCAGGTGATGAAAATGATGCCACCCAGCAGGTTGCAGGTGAAGACAAAGCGCTCTAGGCGGCAGGCCACCTCCCCAAAGCTCCAATTTTTGGGTGGATAGAAGTAGGCAGCTAGAGGAGGTAGTGTGAGTGCATAGCATAGGTTGCTGACTGCCAGCTGTACAGAGAAGACAACAGCTGGATGCCAGGGCCTCTGCTCTTGGGTGATAAAGCGGTACAGGGCCAGGCCATTGCCCCCTACTGCCACCAGGAACTCTGCCATCAGAATGGCCCAAAGGTAGCCCTCCTGAAAGCGCCTGTATTCCCGTTCAGCAGCTTCCACATATTCTTCCGGGCAGGGCTTGGTACCTGTGGGCACAGTAAATGACTGAACCATAGCCCGCCTCAGCCTGCATTGCATGCATACCAGTTCCTACAAGTGAGTGGTGAGCAAGTGGAGGCTTGCATGTAAATGTGGCCTGGCAGGTCCCCATCACCACCTGGGAGGGGACCAGCCTATCTTCAAGTGGAATGGGCCAGGGTCACATTCAGTCTGGTTTTGAACCAAGCTGGTATAGCCACAAGACCCTATACTGTCTACACAGAAGCCTGCAGTCACCATCCAGACCAGTTCCCCACCACACTCCTGTTTTGCTAGCATCAGGCTGTAGATATCTGAGGGTGCCAAGAGTTGCTACTCTGTACCTTTATCATTTCCCTACAACTCCACCCCAGTTTTACAGCCTTGCTGATCCATTCCCATTGACCAGGTAGCCTCTTCAAAGTACCACACACGGTGCACAAAGACTGCATCTGACAGGCCACCCCAAACTCTTGGCAGTCTGTAGCACCTGCCCAGATCCTTAAAGAGATTTCCCTCCAAGCTGTTATCTGGTGGGATACTGGTTAGCTAGCTCCACAGGGCACAAGTCCCTTGTCTTAACTGGCCAAGTATTAGCTTACCTGAGAGGGCAGCCATGGTCCTCACAGCAGCTCTGGGTTACAGAAGGTACCTCCTGGGTTCCCCAGCAGTGTGGCCACTGGCCCATCTCAACTTGCATAGCCAGTCATGGTAACACCTCCCACTTAGCCCACTCCCTCCTTGTACCATCTGGGCTGGGCCTGTCTGTTGCTTGGCCTGTCACAACTAAATACTGTTAGCCCCATCCCCGCCCCAACTAGTCGTGAGGCAGACTCAAAAACAAAAAACCCCAAACTAGTGAACAAACAAACAAAACGATGCCATATTCAGGTTTATTGGAGGTAAGAACTGGGTAGGTAGTTCCTTTATGAAAGGAAATTGAGCTGCATTGGAACTGAAGGCAGCTCCTGAGCCCCAATGTGGGGCATCCACGGTCCATCCACAGCCAAGCAGGCTCAGATTCTTCTTGATGGCTGAACCGGGTCGTGGCATGTGGCTCTGGGCCCCAGCTTGGTCTTGACTCCTTGGGATCTACCCCTTGGCTTCAGAGGCCGCCAGTTGCCACCTTGACTTCGGCCCAAGCCAGGCCTCTGTTTCTTCCCTTGAGGACCTCCCTGCCGTCTCCGCTTGGCCACTCTGATAAACATGTCTGTAAGGAGAGAATGGTCAAGGTCCTCAAGAAGAAGTAAAGGGCCTCCTCTCGTGTCACCAGCACAGACCCTTCCACACACCTTCATCAGGCTCCTCGCCCACAGCTTGGCGAAAATACTCAGCATCGTCCTCCTCCTCCAGCTGCCTCGCCCCCACTGCCTCGGGAGGTGCCCCTGGGTCCTCAGCGTCACTGTCACCATCAGCCCCCGTGCCCGCTCGCTTCATACCCGCCAGGCTCTTCTTTCTGGAGGACAAGAATGTCATGGGAGAGCTGGCTCAGGCTCCCACCCACCTTTCCACCCACTTGTCTTTGCATACTTGTGGGCTTCTCGAAGTTCCCGCTTGCGCTGTAAGTTTTCAGCCTGCTGGTTCTGACGCTGGGCCTTGAGCCGTAGTTTCTCTTCCTTTGCTGCCAAGATGGCCTGCAGTTCACTCTCAGTCTTGTGCACTGTGAGGAAAGACCAGACACACCTGTCAAGATTATAATGGGACCTAGCACTATTCTAACAGGCTGGCCTTGCCCTGTCCTCTTACCAAAACTGTGGAAGAGGACATTGCCATTCCCAACACCTTCTTGGATCTTAATGAGCTGCAGTGTCATCCGGGGGCCAATCTGGAGATACATGGATGAAAGAGTCAGGCTGGCCTCAGGACTGAAGGCTGTGGGAGTCACCTTGAGCTACCCCTCACTCACCTCTGTAAGTCTGATGGCACTCTGCTGGGCCTGCATGTTGCCACGGCCAGCCACAGCCTGGGGTAGTTCTGTGATGTTGTGCTCACCATCTGGCTCTGCCTCACTCTCTGACAGGCCCGCAGCCCTGTATGGGACAGCAGGTTACCTTGGGTGTCTCACAGGCCAGCTCTAGGACCCCTGAGCTGCAACTGCCACCCACCCAGAGCCTTTCTCACGTGGCCAGCAGCTCACTGATATCCTGAAGTCGGCTCATGTTGGGAAACTTCTCCTGCAAGAGCTTTTTCATGCCCCGGCTTGCACCCACAGGCACCACTTTGATGCTGCTGCAGTGGTAGAAACAGAGGAAGGGGTGAAGGGTAGGGTCCAAAGTCAGCTCTGTGCCCTCCCCATTCTGGGCATGCATCAGGGCGTTTACTTTGAGTCTGAGCAATCACATGGTCTCAGCAGCAGAGTTTTCATCAGGTGCATGGGCATCCCACCTTGAGTCCCTCCCACCAACACTCACTAGTGTCGGAAGTCCAGCTCTTGGGAATCCGGGTTGTAGTTAATGAGAAGGCAGCGTTTAATGCTATTCAGGTTCACCTGGAGGACCAAGGAGAGGTTCCAACCAGGCACAGGAGTACTGTCTCCCTTTAGCAGCCTATATCCAAGGCAGGGATATAGGCTAGGGATGTCCCACAGGGACAGGGGTTGCAATCAGTGTCTACAGTTTGTCTGGAGCACTGGCTAAAAGGCTCAGTTATAGGAACCATCAAAGCCAACCTTCAGACTTCTAAGTGGTACCTTGTAATTAGCATATCCTGAGAACTACTAGGGCCAGGTTTAGCAGCTGAAACTCTAGTTCTGCTAGGCTGGGTGGCTGAGGCAGGACCATGCTGGGGTTAACACAAGATCTTGTGTCAAGAAATGTGGCTCAAGTCGGTATAGTACTTGCCTCCCATACACAAAGCCCAAATTTGATTACCAACACCTAAACCAGGTGTACAACACCCAAGGTGGACTAAACATGCAAGGGATGGAGAGCTATAAGCTCAAGTCCAGCCTCAGCCACACAGGAAGTTGGAAGCCAGCCTGAGATGCAGGAGATCCTGTCTCAGTTAACAAAAATCACACAAACTCCAGCCCTGCCTTTGAATTTAAGATCAAGTTAGTTTCTCATGCCAGCAAATCTCTCCACACAATGATATGACACGGGGCCTGCAACACCTGCTCCCTACCCAACTGCCCACCCCCAGCAGCTGCCAAGAGATCTGGCCCACCGTGTGTACGTTGATGGATGGGAACAGGTTCTGGAACATGGTAGCCATGAGCTTGATGTGCATGCCCTGAGGGCCAAAGCTGTTGAGCACCAGGAGGGGTGGGTGATTAAATTGCTGCTCATGCATCCGGTGTCGGCGCAGGGAAGAGACAACATCCCGTACCAGTGTGTACTGAAGGGGAGGGTGGAGAGAGGCTGAGGACCATCTGTGTGACCAGGGCCCTCCCCAGGAAAGCTGGGCTTCCATATCACCTCTACCCCTCACCTTATTGATCTGGAAGGTCAAAGTGGGGCCTCCTGGGAGGCGCATCAGTTTCTGTCAGAGAAAGAATGGGTGAGGTGGAGGGGTCTGGCTAGGAGGTAGGGCAAGGGGGAAACTTGCTCCATTGCTTCAGAGCGTTTACTTTGAAGCCAGCATCACAACAGCTCAGGGCAGTGGGCTCATCATAAGGCAGGAGCAGCTGGGACGAGGGAGGGGAGGGCATGGTTCCCACTCACCAAGTAGACACTGCTGTCTGTTTTGCTTAAGATAAGGAAGTGTGTGACACCGAGGGGGCCAGCTACTGCCACACAGTCCTTCAGCGAGTTCTTCTTTCGAACCTGATAATTAGAAAAAAGAATGGATATAGATAAGTCTTATTGAACAAAGAAGCTTAAACTATGGCTTCTGAGATATTACTTCTGATCCCCACCCCAACTTTCTGGGGGGACTGGGGACTTAGCTATTCCTGAACTATAGCCCCAGAACTCTAAAATAATTTTTAAAGAGTATAATTTTGTGTACGGTGGCGTAGGGGCACATAGATGGAGGTCAGAGAACAACCTTCAGAAGTTGGTTCACCGCTTCCACTAAGTGGGTCATGCGAACTGAACTCAGGTTTAGCAGCAAGCCCCCTTTGCTGCGTGCCTCTTTTTTTTTTTTTTTTTTAACACACGAGACCTCACTATGTACCCACGGCTGGCCTCCAACATAAGACCCCCTTCCCTTTTTCGAGAGCAGTGATTTCAGCTATATATCATCATGCCTGGTTCAATCGGTGCTGGGGATGCAGCCGGGGCCTCCCACATGGAAGGCAGATGCTCTGCCACTGAATTTAATCATCAACCTCTGGCCCCAAGTCCTCGCCGGGGTTCCTTGCTGCCGCCGCGAAGCCCGGGACTGGGGCTTGGAGGCCTAGGGGATGCAGACCTGCAGGCGGGTGGCGGTGAGAGGCTCCATGACCCGCCGCACATCCAGGCTGAGCTGTTGGACACTGCGACCCGCCCGGCCTCGCGTGAACACGAACGAATGCGGCTGTGCGGCGTAGGCCTCGAGGTTGCGGAGTTGGGCCTGGGCGCGAGCGCGCTTCTGGTGCCGGGACTGCAGGGGCGACAGGCGAGCGGTGAGCGCCCCGGCCTCGGCTGCGACCCCACCTGAGCCCCATGTCCGCCCGGGCCTCCGTGCCTCACCCGCCCCGACTGCCCCATGCTGCCTGCTTCTCCACGAGGTTGCCTCTGATGCTTCCGGCGTACACCGCTCACTTCCGATACAGGAGGCTCAAAGCTGACTTCACTCTCTGTGGTCCACTTCCGGTGCCGCGTGGCTACTATCCCTCCCACTTCCGGTGCTCCCGCCAGTGACGTCACTCGGTGGTGCTTCGCGTTGGGTGGTTTAAGGACCAATACGGAAATCTTTACAGGGATTACTATAGATTTGCCATGCAGGTTTCTGCGGAAACAGGGTGGGTCCGTACAGTCAGTTAAGGGTACGAACTCTGATCCTGCATGTTTCTGCAAGGTGACTCTGGTTTTACCTCCTCCTAGGAGGGCTTGCAACGAACAGAGAACCGCTTGCCTATGCCGAGCTGTGGCATTAGAGGCATGTGCCTCTATGCCTGACTAGACAGGGTCATTCGTTTACATAAATGTATATATTTTTTGTTTTTGTTTTGTTTCGAGACAGGGTTTCTCTGTGTAGCTTTGGAGCCTGTCCTGGAACTCACTCTGTAGACCAGGCTGACCTCGAATTTACAAAGATCCACCTGTCTTTGTCTCCCGAGTGCTGGGATTAAAGGCATGCGCCACCAATGCCTGCCTATAAATGTATATATGTATATATTAAATATATACATTTTATGACAGGGTCTCAGTGTAGCCCTGGTTGGTCAGCTCACACAGGTCCGCAGGCTTGTCTTCCAAACTCTGGGATTAATGACTTCATTTGCTCCCTTCCCAAATGAATTGCATTTACTTATCTGTGGTGGTGCATATGCCAAGGCACACATGGGGAGGTCAGAGGGTAACTAGGAAGAATTGGTTCTTCTCTCCTTCCACCTTGTGAACCCTGGAGATGGAATTCAGGTACTCAGGCTTCGTGGCAGTTGCCTCTACTCACTGAGTCATCTTGCCAGATCTCTAAAAATGTTTTAATTAAGTTATTTATTTTATGTGTATGGGTATTTTGCCAGCATGGATGTTTGTATACCATTTGGTGCTTGAGGAGGCCAGAAGAGGGCATCCTGAAGAGAGAACTGGAGTTAGAGATGGCTATGAGCT